TTCCCTACAAAAGAAAACCTGACTAACATTATGTTTGTATCTCTAAGGTTATACAAAACAAAAAAGGCGATAGTGTTCTCCTGCATCTGTTTGCCAAAAACAATCAAAATAGGACAACAAATGAACTGAGTAGCAGATACTTGAAAGCTGGAGAAATCAAATGGAAGGGAAGTAAACTTTAAAATACCCTTTGCTTAATCATTGTCTTTATAGCACATTACTTTGTGTTTCACGTTGTGGAAAATTTTAAGAGGAACACTACATAGATGAGCTTTCCTTTAAGCTACACTGTTTTGATTTCACAAACTTTCAGCATTTTGGAATGTCAGGAGAAGCACCATGAATCTTTGAACCCTGAATCAAAAGCTTTGGAAAATAATATGAAAGTCTTACGACAATTTTTCATGGAAGAATTTGGAGACACTACACTGCATTCAATCCAGCAAGACTTCCTAACAACTCTTCTTACACACCTCTCCCCCCACCCCAAAATTCCACTCCTAATGGCTGTTTCTCAATCTCTTCTCTCTCACCTATGTTCCAAAGGCCTTTAGTTGTACTGGCTTATCTCCCTATCATTTCTTTTTTTGTTTTCATAAAAAATAATTTCATCTTCTCATCTTCAAGTTTTCTCTCCTTCTACTATGCTTCTCAGCACGATTTCCTGGTAAACAAACCAAGCAAATACTATATCCTTTGAAGTGAATGAAGAGGGATACCACGAAAACTTGTAATTTGATATATGTTCCTTCATGCCACACTTTATTTTCAACTTAAAGATTAAATATCTTTGCTATATACCTTGGCATATAAGAGCTGCTACATCATAATTTTAAGTAGGTACACCACACAAGATAATGATTTTTATAAAAATGATAACATTTATAAAAAAAGGATTCCTAAGCTTTTTCTGAATATTAACTGGGTTCCTCCTGACACTCTCAAAATTCGGGCAGGCAAAAGGACTCTATTAGTTTTCTAGTGCTGCCATAACAGAGTACCCAAGAATGGATGGCATAAACAACAAAGATTTATTCTCTCACAATTCTGGAGGCTGGAAGTCCAAGATCAAGGTGTTGCCAGGGTTGGTTTCTTTTGAGGCCTCCCTCCCTGGTTTGCTATCTTCTCCCTGTGTCTTTACATGGTCTTCCCTCCATGTACATCTGTATTCCAATCTCCTCTTCATTTAAGGACACCAGTCACATTGGATTAGGGCCTACACCAATGACCTCATTTTAACTTAATTCCCTCTTTAAAGACCCCGTTTTAAAGCACAGTCACATTTTGAGGTACAGAAGGTTAAGATTTCAACATATGAATTTTGGAGGGCCGTAATTCATCCCTCAACAAGGACTGTTCTTTCCATTTCAGTAGAAGAAGAATGTCAGGTGTTCAGGGACTAAGTGACCACTGAACAGTCTAAGGAACACAGCCAGCACATCCAATTGATAACCTGTACTATGGATTTCTTTAAGTCATTCTTAGAAGAAAGAGATGTTAGAATACAGACCTTCTTAGAGTTTCAGAGTTGGCATTATAGAACAAGAAAGCAATGCTTTTTTTATCTTTAATTTAAAGATATAAATGATGAACATATGCCAACCTTATAAATATCCTTCAAGGTATCTAGGTTAGCTATTTCCATAGCTGGTCTAAATATTCATGCAAAAGTATTATAGGTATTTTTCTGTGTTTTTTAACAACTGTATTGAGATATAATTTACATAGTGTAAAGTTTAGTAGTCTAAAGTGTACAATTATCATGAATATTTATGTGTGTAATTATGCACACATAAATTTATTCTGCACTCTATGTAGATTAATGTTAATCTCTATGATAACTCTACAAGGTTGACATCACTGGCGTTTATAGATGAGGACATGAAACTTAGAAATGAAAATAACTTTCTCAGATTCTCCCAGGTAATAAGTAGGAGAGTTGGTCATTCAAACCCAGGTCTGTGGGGTCTAAAACCTAGGCCCTATACACCACACCACTCAGCTAGTCCTTCCCCATTTTACCATATGTAACACATTCTCATTGTATGGAAATCAAAGAGCACAACTAAATAAAAAGAAAATAAAAATCATTTGTAATCCTTACCCAGAGTTTACCATCTATAACCATTTTGATATGTACCCTTACAGTTGTTTTCCTATTCATATGTGTCAAGCACATATAACTTCATACACATAAACTCAGTTGTATCTTTATTTTCTTCAAATAAAATTAAGTGTATCTCTGACCTTCATCCTACAAGGTTGTCAGGAGATCCTGGTAAGTATTGAGGCTCCTGATCTTCCTTGAGGTCAAAGAGAAAATTGGGAGATTTGTGTACTACTGGGAGAGTAGAGGGAGGCCTCTGATCTTCAATCTAGCATGGCAGCCTTCATTATTGTCTATGGTTCAGCAGGTCAGGGG